TTTATTATCTTAACACATTTTCTTACAGTTTGTTTGAATTTATCATGTAATTTAGATCGTATTTTGACACTTGAATATATTATTTCTTACTTGTCTTGTTTTATAATTTATAATGTATCTTATTTGGAATTACAAATGTGAAATGAATCGAGTTGTTTATAGACTTAACTCAACTTGTTAAGGAATTAAGACTTTCTTCTTCTGAAAGATGGAGTTTTCGGATCTGGGACTTGACACGGCAATGGAGAATCCGGTCACCGGCCGTCCACCGGACAAACCTCCCGACACGCCGTTACTCTTCAAAGGTACGAAACCCTCGTTCCGAGACATCACCCTTCTTTCGAAGCCACTTCCACCGCCGCCCCAAAAGCGAGATTTGTTCAAGGAAGAAAAAGCACGGATCAAGCTGATTGACAACGATCGATTGAAGCCGGTCTTGGAGCTGGACCCTGATTATTACGCTTCAGTTTGCCGGTCGTACGAGGATGGGCTGGTGGTCCGTCTGTTAGGTAAAAAAGTATCCTATTTCTACATGAAAGAGGGGCTTAAGCGTCTGTGGAAGCCTCATGGGCATCTTGAGCTAATTGACTTGGCCAATGGGTTTTTTATGGTGAAATTCACAAGAGAAGATGATCGGGACACAGCACTGAACGGAGGGCCTTGGATGCTTTCCGGCCATTATGTCACTGTTCAAAAATGGACTCCACAGTTTAATCCTTTCAATGATGTGATTGAACACACTTTGATTTGGATTCGGTTTTCAGGGTTAAATATCGCAATGTTCGACGAAAACATAATGTTTTGCTTGGCATCGATGGTGGGCACGCCAATCCGGATAGATCTCAATACTTCGAATGTTGAAAGGGGAAAGTATGCTCGAGCTTGCGTCCAGATTGATTTGAACCAACCAGTTGTTGGCCAGGTGGGATTTCAGGGAATTTGGTACAAGGTGGAATATGAAGGTCTCTACTTACTGTGCCCCTTATGCGGTCGATATGGCCACAACCGAAACACATGCTTCTTTGTAAAGCCAACAGGGTCTGAGGGGCCGGTGCCCTCAATCGATAAGGGCAAGTCCATTAGTACTGATTCGGCCATGAACTCCCCTGTCGAACTACATGGCGAATGGCTTGTGAATCACCGAAGGAAGAGTGGCAAACCAAACAAAAATGCGGGCAAGGGAGAGACGTCTTCTGCGCGTATGGGTGCTCCCAAGGAACCTTATAAGGAGAAGTCGAATCCTCAGAAACAGGTTAAACCTGCTTCCTTTAACCATTCTAAAAAGGAGGTGCCGGGAAGTTCTCGAAAGGTCACTCAAACACACCAGGTGCCTTCGGTTGAAACCGAATTGACCCATGCCTCTGCAAAAAAATGTCGTCATACAGGCATAGATAAGGGATTTATCCCTAAGCAGACACAAGATGTCCCTTCAACCTCCAAAGGGGTTATAATTGCCAACAAATTCGAGTGCCTAAATCCGAATGCGGGGGACACCTGTGGAGGCATGGGTATGGAAGTTGAAGATACCAACGAAGGGAAGGATCTGGAAGCCCACTCCAGACCACCTGATGTTATTACGGGAGACCGGATTTAATTTCCTTATCATCAAATTTATGGGTTCTACGCCAAATAATTCAGCTAGCCGCTCATTTCTGGCGGACGATAATAATCTTGAAAATAGGTGTATGCAGGCATTTAACGATATTAGTGTATTATCTTGGAATGTTTGTGGTTTAGTCAACAAGTTCTCTCAGAGACAGTTGAAGGACCTCTTGTTTCTTCACAGACCGACTTTCTGTTTTGTCATGGAACCACAATGCCTCTTTGAGAGGCACGCTGTCTGGTTACATTACAGTGGGTATGACCGCGTGGCTATAGCGGAAGCGACAGGTAGAAGTGGTGGTATTTGGCTACTTCAGAGAAGAGGACACTCATTCACGGTTTCGGTTCTTCACATCTCGACCAGGACTATATCTATTAATGTCGGACGAGGTGGCTGTAAATGGGCGCTTACAGGGATCTACGCCTCACCCTCTTTTCGAGAAAGGCTCAGCGACTGGGACACCCTGAAGGCGGCTCGAATGACTTGTGTAGGGTCATGGTGCGTCATAGGTGACTGGAACGAGGTTTCTGGCCCATCCCAATCCACCGGATGCTCTTTCTCACAACATCGTGCGGATGTTCTTAATGAAGTCCTGCAACATTGCGATTTGACGGTTATTCAAAGCATTGGCACGCCTTTTACTTGGCGAAGATCATCCACGGGAGCTAATATCTATTCTCAGAAATGTCTGGACTATGCCGCAGCAGATACAGAATGGATGGTCAATTTTCCTTTCGGGACAGTGGAGACATTAAATAGAGGGAATAGTGATCATAATCCTCTCATATTGCATTGTCATCGCAAAGCTAACATCCAGGGACTTCCCCAACCGCCTTTTCGTTGGCATGAGGCTTGGGCAGACCATCCCGATTATTTAAAGGTTATTACTGATAAGTGGCGTCTGGGTAATGGAGACTTCTTGCACAACATGAATTCCATCAGGGAAGCCTCCATTTCGTTCAATCGGACATGCTTTGGGAATATTGGGGCTCGAAAGCGCAAGATTCAAAGAAGATTGCTGGGAATCCAACGCATCCAAACCAGGGTTGATTCGGCTCGGCTCGCAATTCTTGAGAGGCAGCTCCTTACGGAATATAACTCCATCCTTCACCAGGAGGAACTCATCTGGTTCCAGAAATCCCGGGAAAAAATTCTCTTACACGGGGATCGTAATACGCGCTTCTTCCAAACAACTGCCAAGATCCACAAAAATAAGTCGACCATTCACGGGCTCCAAATTAACAATGTCTGGACTTCAGAAGATGCAATACTCAGAGGGCATGCCATTGATCATTTTGAGAGTCGGTTTTCAGATAGTTCCATCACCCTCGCGGGCTGCGAATACACGGAACCCCTTGCGCCTCCTGATCCCGACACAGAGATATCGGTTTCACAGTCAGTCTCTAATATGGAAATCACGCAGGCGATCGATTCTTGTCCTCCTTATTCAGCCCCGGGTCCAGATGGCTTCCCTACTATTTTTTTCAAAAAATACTGGCATCACATTGGTCCGGACACATGTGATTTTATCCGCACTATCTTCGCAAATGGGCGTTTGACGCCTAATCTCGGATTCTCGTACCTTTGCCTGATCCCAAAGATTGCCACGCCGCTAACTATTAAAGACTACAGGCCTATCAGTCTTTGCAACGTCGTCTACAAGTTTGTAACATAGGTGATTCTATATCGT